AAGAAAATACAAAATGAAATACTGTGATCATGTCGCAGCATATTTTGTACAAACAGGGCACCAGTTAGTTTGTATTGCCACTCATCGTCACACTCAAAACTGCACAAACTCAAGTCTACCACTCAAATAGTAAACAGGCTCTCATAAACTCACCTTCTACATTAACTGTAAAATGACATGCTGGAAAGTACTTTATTACTTTAATTGATTTCTATGCGTAGGACAAAATTCAAAAATTCCTACGTGTCGACCTTCATTACATCGTCAGCACCCTTTCGTTTTATTATTCACCAGTCACCTCATTCTGATAGACCATCTCGGAAAGTGGTTCGGGAATCCCGACGCACAAGAGTGTAGGTTCAAGGCTGCAAAACAAGGTGCTCTGGTTGACTTCCCCACGCTGCATTCCGGATGTAAAAATAAACGCAGACTGATAGCCAGACTGCTTCACGAACTGTAATTAGCACGCAGCCGTCTGATTTACAGTGGCAACCCGTGGCCACTCATCTTTATTTGTTTTGCGGTCTATATTTACTTCTACGCGAATTGGCGACGTTTGTTTATCTGACGCTTCTGCTTTCGTATTAATTGGCGCTCGAAGTAGCTCTTAAACGTCACTTCGGAGAAATTAATCGCTAACAGACAGAGTTCAACTCAAGTCTCTGGCAAAGCCCTATACATTGGCAGAACCTAATTCAGATCGAGCATGTTTAAAATTTGGATGCTTCTTTTTCTTTCTTTCAACAAAATCCTATATACACCATTGCGACAGTTTTCTTCAACAAATTACCGCCTTGGAAAATCAGTTAATTAGTTTATTATAATAAAAAACCTATATAACAATTTATTAGTTAAAACTATCAACACATACGAAGACAGTGTTTCAATCCAGAATAGCCTCGTTTAGGTTTCTGACCCAGATTCATTTAAGTATATCTCAATATTGAAGATCTATTATTTTCAATCAATCAAGAGTAGGTCAGGAAGCTATCGGGACAAAAGCCGATCGCACTGTGAGGCTTACAAAGCCGCCAGGCACCCATAATCTACTCTTCCGCTGCCAACAGCGTTTTTGAACGGTTTGCCCCAATAACAAGCGCCAATCGTATTACGATTTGCAATTTGCTTAAAAATCAGCGGGAAGTGCATCGCCGTATCTCGCTTGAGCTTCCCACCAGAGACGCGCCGGGGAGGTCGAGCGCCCGCCACCTCCGAGGGAAGGCGACGCCCCGGGCCAAGGCCGGGCCAAGGCCGGCCGGGGGGTGTGGTCGGCAGGGTGGGAGCGGGGCGGGGCGGGGGCGGGGGCGGGGCGCGGGGCGGGAAGGAGCGGCGGCCGCGACGCCGCGCGCGCCCGACTGGCTTCCGGCCGCAACCGCCTCCGCCGATGAATATTTGAGGCTGGGAAGGCGGCTCGTGGCTTCCCAGCGCCTGGGCCGCCCTCCGCCGCTGTCTAGGCAGGCGCCCGCGCCCGACACCGAGCGCGCCCGACCGCCCGCGCCCGACACGCCCGCGCCCCGACACGCCCGCGCCCCGACACGCCGCGCCCCCGACACGCCCGCCGCCCGACACGCCCGCGCCCGACACGCCCGCGCCCCGACACGCCCGCGCCCGTGTGGCTACGCATTACAGCCAATGCACCCACCCCCAATTTCGCTTAGTCCCTCTCTTTCAAAGCACGAATCTGTGCCTTCTGTAGCCTCCCACAACGCCGTCCCCTGGCGTGCTCAGCCGCCACTTTAGCCCCTTTAGGCGGCTCAGGGCATCAACAATGTAGCTCTCACTGGAAGGCTCCATGTTCGAGTCCCGGTGGTGGCAGGATTTTCCACACTAGCTAGTTAGGTCGAATTCATTCGCTTGTGGAGCGGCTGTCATCTAGCGTCCGGCTGCTCTGATCGAGTTGTTTTCTGTGGTTTCCTCAATCAACAGGCGAATACCGAAGCACTGTGTGCCACGGATCGCGCGCTATCTTTACTTCCTCTTCCTTGCCCTATCCTAATCCCTAATTATCACACTTACGTGCATACACTACACAACCACACTTTTCGGAAGATCAGTCTGAAGCTTAGAACTTGTCACGGCTGGGAGCTGGCAGTGCTCGGCTGAGGGGAGATACCTTGTTGTGGAAAACCCCGCATGCCGACGTGTAGGTCGGCCATCCAACAGGGGCAAACCACAGCACCCCCTGCCTGCCATAAAAACATGCACCACACTTATGGACTAATGACCCTAGACGTTGACACGTTCCGGCAAGACCACTCAATAAATTCAACGCCACCTCCATCCCGTCACGCCACCAACACCCCCCTACCGCTTCCCCACCCCCTTCCCCTTTCCACATCACCATCACCGCCGCCTCCCCTCCACCCAAACCGTCCCCGCCGAGCATCCCAGGCACGCCAGTCGCGCGAGCTCAAATTTCTGCGGCGCCGCCCGGCCCGCCCCCGCCCGCCCGCCCCCGCCCGCCCGCCCCCGCCGCCACAACAAGAGCGACAGCCGAACGTCGATCCACCTGCCACGCGAGAAACAATGCGGCCGCCCGGCGGGGGCAAAGGTCTACGCACGCCATCCGTCGCGCGGCGCCACATTAAAGCGAACGTAATGAGGGAAACCCCGACTACGATTGTGCTGCAACTATCAAAACAGTTTAATAGAGACATGTTCCTGTTCATCCGAAAGAGAACGAACATACAACACAAATTAATACGAGTGAAAGAAATAAACGCAAATCAGTCTAACACTGTTCAAACTGCGTTTCTTCATTAATAGGAATTACCAGGTATCAGCATGATTACGACATAGTTGCAACACGATTTAAACAGATTTGCTAAGATACATTCAGCGGAGTTGTAACGATATACGCTATCTGGAGAAGAATTTTAACGGCCGGGTGCTCTGATCGGTAGTTCTTTGCGGTTTGTCCGAATCAACATCCGGCGAATGTCGGAGCAGTACCCTAACAAACGGGCCAACGCGCGATCTTTCTTTCCTCTTCCTTGTCCGATCATCACCCCTCACATACACTTGCACTACACTATCACACGTCGGGAGCTTGATTTTGTCCCGTCTGGAGCGGTGCCCCGTTGGTGGGTGATACCTCGTTGGGGAAAACTGCTAGCCCACTTGTACGTCGGCGTCAAATATAACCATTCGGCGGGAGAACATCACCGTCAGTTCCAGCGATAAAAATCAAGCACTACACTTTCGGGACTAATGGGCATGGTTGTCGACGCACCCGGAAACACTATTCAATCAAAGCAACGGCATAGAGATGTCAGAGCCAGGGCTGAGCGGTTCCTCTGAAAGTGTTAAGTCTTCTCCCGGAAGAAGTCGGAAATGTGCGTCTTTCGCATCCATCACGCGCGTCTATTTCTGGAAATAAGAATAACCTGCGGCGGGATGCAAGAAGAACGTTTGCTGGAATATTTGATAGAGTATGGGTAGTTTTGGTAACCCATGTCAATTCTAAAACCGGACTTGGTGTCACGTGTTGTGCTTATTACACAATAACGTAACATACAAGTTGTCAGCATTTCTCGACAACATCCAGAACCAGATCATTGGTTCGGATACACTAACTGAAATGAACGTCGAGTTGCTTCGAGTTTCTTTTCGTCATGTGATGGAGATAGAGTTTCATAAAGTTGCGTTTCTGGAAGTACGCTGTATCGTGTTAAACAATTTTGCGTTGCAACGTGATATGCAATAATACAAACTCGCATTATGAGATGTGCGAAACGTAACCTGTGTATTAGGTGACTGAACTCGTCCAACGATCTAGGAGAGAGCAAATGTTCTTATTACCAAACTGAATAGTGATAAATCTTCATACAGTTTAAGGAAAAAGTTTATTTACAAAAGCCAGCTCGACCGCAAATGTTTACATTCACGCAATAGTCTTACCGCCTAATTCGCATTTCTGAAATAAAGTTACTCACTACTCCTTTCTTCCCGAGGTATGTCCAATTGTCTCCCAATTAAAGACGTTAAATAATTGTAAATTTTGTGAAGACATGAGTAATATACTGGACGTGTATTGTATTAAAGCTGATGGCTCCATCACCACTTCATCCCGAATAATATTGTTATTTTACTACTTGTAGCAAGTACTTCTCAGAGATCAATATCGTAAGTTTCACTCAAAACGTACGTCAATATTCTTAGCTTGAAATTGTAAATATTGCTGATATGACAAGAACTATTGGCCAAGTCCCAAAAAATAAAGTTATTACTCCAATATCGCTGTATCTCTCAGAATTTTAGAAAGAGAACGTAAGAAAATAGAAGGTCAACTAGATGCAGACACGCGATTTTTGGTAACGATGTAATACGCATCGTTGCAACCGTGAATGCTTTGGGCACTGTCGAAATTATGTTAATATTACGAAGTGCTGTTTGACTCGAGAAGGAGAACGCATGAAAATGTAGGGCCAACCAGATTCAGACACGAGATTTTTGGAAGTGTTGTAACATGTACCGTTACCACAGCGAATGCTTCGAGTATAGTTGTAATTGCGTTAACATTATGTCATACTGCTTTGCAATGCTCCCAAGAGTTTTATCATCAAACCACGACATACACATTAACTGGTTACACACCGATATAAGGCATCATATAATAATTTTGAATTTCTAACGTGTTTTTTGGACGTCAGGTACGGTGTCAAGCCAAGTCGCTGTTTTCTCATGAGAAATATTCATTAATGTAGAATTTCAAACGCGCGTTTATTTGTTGTCTTATAGTTAATATTCATAACATTAATAATTTATATACTGAGAGACTTGCGCTAGTATAGAAAATTAGTAAAAGCTTTTTGGATATATGTCATTGGGTTTCTGTTTATGGGGAGGCTGACACCCCATGAGCCCCTCCCCACCATTGCGCCACTGACTAAAATTAGAATTTAAATATTTTCCTTTATGAACTATTACTTTACACAGCTATTACTAATTTAACCCTTAACATTATTTTTATCCCTACCTTAGCAGTTCGTAAAAGTTACATGCAGACCAGGTTCTTCAGACGTCACAATTCCAAAATTAATGACATCCTGAAAAATAAAAACATTGACATTAATGCAGGTACAAAATTGCAATACGTTACCAGGTTAAATACATTTTTTATAAGGTTGAATATTTCAATATTAGTAGGAACCGATTTTTGATGTCTTTAATGTTTAGTGTATTAATGTAATCTGATTTAGATAGCTCAAAATAATCTCTTCATAGGTCTTTGATGTTGCATACAGATTTTTCGGCCACTCTTGCAGCGATCTTCAGTAATACAATAAATAGAAATTTCGTAATTTATAGTTTGCAATTTGTACAGTAGTTTAAAACTTGTAACAAGACAGAAAAATCAAATTACAACTACGGTAAAAATAACCTAAATTATTAACACATTTTCAAAATGGAATGCGAAACAGAGATTTACAAAATTCAAAAATCTATGTCAGTTATTCATAATATTTTCCATTCATCCAATTTATATTTATAGCAGTTTCATAATGTATCAAACATTTCGTTAATACAAGATAATATTTAATATTTCAAAGCCCCTTTGTAACACTTAACCAGGTATCTTCCACCTGCAGGGCACCGCCCCAGACGAGGCAAGCTCTAAGCTCCTGGCAGGTCTCCGGGTGTGTGTGCTAGTGTAGTGAATGTTAGTGCAAGGGTGTGTAAGGGGTGATGCTAGGATAGGGAAGACGACGGAAAGATCGCGTACCGTAGAACCGTGACCCGTTTGTTAGGGTACAGCTCCGTCATTCGCCTAGGATTGATCAGAGAAACGACTGAAAACTACCGATCAGAGTAGCCGGCAGCAAGAATTCTTTTCCAGACAGCGACTGAATCCCTACTAGTTTTCCAACTAGTGTTGAAAATCCTGCCACATTTGGGACCTGAACCTAGGGCCTTCGCGTCAGACGCATTGCAGTGACATCAGTTGAGCCTGGAGCCACCTATTCGGTAAAATTTGATTGATTTAAATGGACATGTTTTATAATCTTTAGGTTTCACCCTTCTGTCAACCTGCAAATAGAAAATTACAAAACTGATTGAAGTTTTAAATAAGTAGTTTGTTAAAAATTATTTTTGTTTAAACGGAATTCGATCTGTTAGAAATTGCAGATAACAGAAAGATTATTCAAAACTTTCGAAAAAATAAATAATAACACTTTCTTGAAAAATAACTATCGAACATAACACATGTGTCTCTCCGAGTGTGAACCCTCCTTAATTTCTATTCGAATTTGTTTCTCTTTCCCGTTGAAAACTTGGCCTCTCTTAATAATTCTAATAACACCAAAACGAGATGTTGAATTCTGTTTTAATGAATTCCAAAATCACTTATAATTATTGTCTCTCTGCGACACATGAATCAAGTCAATTACAAACTTTCTTTCAGTCAGTGCAATCGTCGAAACAATGGTAATTTTTCAACTATTGGTTTATTACCCGCCGCTAGAAAAAAAATGAAAGAGGAAGAAAGGAGGAAGAAAATTCATTACGAGCCTGTTTACTCGTCGCATCTTTCGCTGTGAAATACGCTTTCCTTCGCCTTCCACTAGGGCGGCGCCTATTCTTGCGCGCTCTGCATCTCTGTCTCGTTTGCTTGCTATCTCCCGCCCGCGCCGCTTCCTCCCGCGCGAGAAATTTATGGCGGAAGTAAACCGGTTCCTCCTTTCCGAACGCCGCCGCCGCCGCCGCCGCGGCTACCGCCTCCGCCACCGACAACACCGCCGCCGCCTCTTGCCTGGGCGCGTCTTGCGCCTCGCAGGAGGAAAAGGAGGAGGAGAAGGAGGAGAGGTGGAGCATGGAGGAATGGGTGGGGTTGGGCTGCGAAGTCAAATCGAGCACAAGTTCAATGCCGGCGCCCTCGTTCTCGAAGGTAGCTTCTGATACAGTGGATATCTTGAAGGGGAAAACCGAGTAATACATTATTTCGATTGATTGATTGTTAGTGATTCCTGGACCTTCAACTACCAAGGGTATTATTTCCGTAAATGTAGTGCGTGTTTTTTTGCTCAGGCTGTGTCTGTGGTTTTCCCCGCTGGGTGTCGAGATGCGGCGCCGACCGGTGTTTTCCCTCACCAGGTATTTCCTACCAGCGGGGCATCTCCCCAACCGAGACAAGCTTTAACCTCCCGACCGGTCACCCGGCATGTGTGGTACTGTGGTAGATGTTAGTGTAAGTGTAAGGGGTGAGGATAGGGAAAGGAAGCGATCCGTGGCCTGTTTCTAAGGGTACTGCTCCGGCATTCGCCTGGTGTTTATCGGAATTCTCCTCTAGATAGCGACTGAATTCGACTGACTTAGCTGAGAAGTTAGTGTCGAAAATCTTGCATCCGTCGGTACTCGAATCTAGGACCTCCCGATCAGAGGAACGGCAGTGACATCAGTTAATACCCTGAGCTATCTCTCTCAATCTTTATTTAGAAATTTTATAGGCATTCGTTGAATAATAGTCATCAAAAAGAATCGTACCGAGATGCGATTCATCTGAACCGCTTTACGACGCACGTTTTTAGTGACAAAATCAGCAGAATTGAAGGGCTAGGGGCAGTACAGGTTAAGCCATACTAGTCTTCCGCTATTCGATACCATTAATCTCCATATTTTGGTTGAGGAGTAGCCTTCTTTGATTCAGCCACAACCATTCCACAACGAAGCCCTCACATTTACAAAACTCCGACAAAATTCGTGATATTAGTATTTAGGAGTAGCAGGGGAGTTCTTGTGGCCGATGAACGGTTACTGCCCAAGATCCATGAATCACTTAACGCACGATCATTTTCATAGTGTAGGTTATTTCTGGTGTTCCTTTCTGAACTCCGCGCTTGCTTTTCCCTCTCTACGACCCTGCGTGGGAGGAGCGAGGAATAACGTTTAGATTTGGGCCCTGAAACCAAATCGGGCACAAGTTCAATGTCTGCGTCCTCACGCTACAGATGAAGTCGGAGATAAGTCGACATCACGAAGCTGCAGGCGAAAAGAAAAAGTTTGAATTATGTACGTCATAATATCGACGTTCGAATTCCGTTTACAGAGTTTCTGGAAAAAACACGACGGAAATTGGCGAATTTACATTTTACATTAACGATTTTGCAATTCACAAATCTATGTATAGATTCTATCGGATGGCATCATCGTTCAGAAATTGTGACTGATGACAGTTGCAAGTAATTCTTAACAGTTATCAGTTCGGTACGTTCCATGAACATAACCAATATGTTCCCTATTACATAGTATTTGCATTTAAAATAAGCTTCACGTTTAAACATAATGTTAAAACAAAGCAAAATTTCGTATTTTCGAGATTCTTCTTTCGTAATTTGATTCAATTTCTAAATGAACAGGGTGAAAAAGGAAACCAAGAATTTGTAGATCGTGATCCTACGGCAACACGCCAACGGTTCCCATACACATGTAGAACCCGAGGGTACGTTTGGGAAGTGAATTCAATTACCAGATGTTGACACCGGAATACATATTTCCGATGCACATGCACAAGACTTTTGAAGGAAGCGAGGTATTTATTTACATTCAATTTACTGACAAGTTTTCTCAAGATTTGGATGCCTGAAAAAAGTAAGCTACTTACGAATGTGACAAGACCACTACACACACACACACACACACACACACACACACATCGTAAGTCACTCATCCTTCATAGTATGTATGATCGTATGCATTATTTGCAAGGCGTATTTTGAAAAGGTCAATTTTAAAGCAAGAAGTTGAGAAATATTTAAACAAAGAGTTGACATGTATTACCTACATATACCCTGAAGATCTTCACGACAGTTTACAATGTGAGGGAGTTGGGGTTCCGAGAATTTGAGAAATGGTCTACATTATTAGAGTAGTTATTAGTATCGGAGACGACGATGATGGTGAAGGCCGATGGTGATGCGTGTTGGTCACCGTGGTGATGACCGAGTTGGTAACTGTAATGGGCAAAGAGAAGGCAACAGCGTGTCCACCTTCGCACCGCGGCAGCTGCCCAGCGAGCCTCATTAAGGTACAGTTTCTTCAGCGGCACGTGGAGCACTTCACTCACCCGCATTTTACGTAACACAACTCGGTGTCGCAATTTCAGAACTTCGTAGGAGAAGCAAATCTGGTGCGATCATACGTGAATATTAACTAGTACTACGTATGATATATTTATTTTATTTAACCGCAAGAAACGGCTAAAACTGAATGTGATGAATGAAGAAGAAGAAGAAGAAGAAGAAGAAGAAGTAGAAGTAGAAGTGTAATCCGCACCCGCTTTCTGGAGCTCCCATTTCACCAGATTGAAAAGGAATTGGACGGGGAGAGTTGGATGGCAGTATTATCAATCCGAATCAGAAGCTCGTTTCTTGATGCCAATATTATTAAATGTTATTAAATGTCGACAATGGTCGTTGGTGTCTTCTTAATTTAACTATTTTGTAAACGAGAGTAAGTATGAATTCTAGAGCTCTAGAAAACATGCGCGTTCAATATAATATTTGCAGTTTAGGCATAATGGTAATTGCATCACATGTATTAGTCTAAAACTAAACAGAAGGGCTGAAACCTCTAATTCTAAAATGTAGGCAACTTATAATTTATATTTGACGTTAAATAATATTAATGTTCAAACTAGTTAAAGCACTTTTATATAGAATACAAACAGAATTTTAGGCACATACTATACAGATTATTCAAATTTGAAAGCCACGACACTGGCTGGCCAAGCGAAGTGGAAAACACGAAAAAGCAATTCTTGACTTTGTTTAAAATCTTTAAAGCAACATACTTCTAGACTGTAGACCACAAGTTCTTTCACGGATGATACACACAGGATGAATGCGGTTCATTAGGAATGTATATACCCAGGACTAGAATACTCCTTTTTCAGTACTGCACTACAAGTTGCAATGCAAATGCTCTATAAAATGTAATGGTCAGCGAGAAATTCTCTCCTAATAACATCATCCAGACTGCACATAGCTACCATTGAGCTCTGCAAACACGGCACTATAAACCGAAACAAGTGTTATAATTAGTTGTGAAG